TTTTTATTATTATTACTATTATTATTATTATTATTATTATTATTATCATCTGATGATGGGGCTAATGGCGTGTGTTTTACATTCTTTGCTTATTACGGGCACTACTCGGCCGATTCGGTAACAGCCACTTGGACACCAGACTAAGTTAACGCAATTTAGTGGGTCTAAATAAGTACTTTTCACCTCTTAAAATTCTCCAATTGACCGCTGCTGAAATCACGCCCACTCTAAAATCGTTGACATAATAAGGAAATGGATATGTAGCAGACGATGGACCAGTAAAACGTGTCTGCCAATTCACAGCTAAGCCATTTCCTCGTAAGGATGAATAGATAGGACTAGGTGATTCCTGTGAATCTTGGCAAGAAAAATCACTTGTAGATATTCCATTGGATACGTCGTCATTTTGTAGTAATACTGAGCAGTGCGATACCGTTGGCGCCTCAGTAACTAAAAAAAGAATAATTTATAATATGAGCATAATAATATTAGAATGACAATACTTTTTTTTTCATTTGGAATATTGACTTACTTCTCATGCAGTTAGGATCCGATTGAAAACCATTGGCACATGCACAACTGGGAACTCCTTGGGGAGAGGTACATGTACCAGGATAGCAAGACTTACTATCACTCCGCCACGAACAACGTTCTATGAATCGTAAAAGTTAAGGTTATGTCAACAAATTGTACATGTAGAGTTTATATTATTCTTATTATACTTATATTATTCTGGTTAGAAAAATAAGTAGAAATACATATGTTAATACGTTATTATGATTTTTAATGTAGTAAGCCTCTAGCTTTAAGTGTGTGCTCTGATCAAGGCGGCTATGTATGCAATAAACACGTTTTTAATTATATAATGGCCTATTTGTAAGATAACGTTTTAATGCATTTGTTTAAAAAGTATAGTAGGCCTAGTAGACAAATATCGAAACATAATGTATGCAATGGCACCTTATAAATGCATATACATTTACAGCAACACTAGTCGTTAAGGACAAATAGGGTATGTTTTTAAATCAAGATTGATGTAATACTAAATTTATTCGTTAAAGACCTGTTGCTAAACCTCAAAAGACATAAATGCAAATTAAATAGAATTAATACATTCAAATTCATTTAAACTTACGTTTGCACACGCCGTCTACTAAATCATATGCCTTTATTTCGTCACTGATGTCGTAAAGACATTTTATGCACACGGAATCCATAACGTTCGTACAATCTACGGTTTCACAGTTATCAATCTCTAAATCGCAATCTTGGGATAAAACATGTGATATTTTTATCAGTTATCTAAAATCTGTCTCATTCTGACCATTTGTGACCTGAATAATGACGACTTCCTGCTATAATTATTCGTGCCTTGAACAAGACAATTAAGTAGGCCTATATGATTATTTTGTGAATTCAATTCCGAAATATAGCTTAAATAGTGCTTATGTCTGTTGCAAAAATTTAAACCACTAAAGTTTAACTTGCAAATAAAATAAATGTTAAAGTAATCAAATCATAAACAAATGGCAACAATGGCTTATTTTAGTGTCAATGAGACGTGAACAATTAAAGCATCTTTAAAATAATAATTACATAATAATACTTACATAATATGTTAATGGTGATATTAGTAAGGATAAATTACAATAATGAAATAGCATAAAATAATTACTATATTCGCATGTTGGTCCATGGAACTGCTCGTCACATACGCACAGATTGGGGCCTTCACATCTTCCGTTTATACATGCGGGCGCACATATAGCTGTACAGAGATAAATAAATTAAGCTGTTTCGATAGTTTGTTATGCATGTGTGAAGATTTTACCTACACAAACAATTTTATGGCTTTTTGTGAACATTTCTAAATACAATATATCTGACTTACGTTCACTACATTCATTGCTGCCACGGGGCGCTGCATAACCGTCGCAACAAACATAATCTGTACTGTAAACTGTTCGATATCTAACAACATTGCGATATTTCGTTCTGCATTAAAGAATATAAATAGGTGTTGCTACAGTATGATACAATAGAGGCTTTTTTTTAATTACATCGCCATACAATTTTTTTCTATATAATTACTGGCAAAGGTTATATAAATTTTAGCCTCTTCATTTACAATCTTTTAAACTTTGTTGTTCTATTCGATATGTATATGTATATATTTCCAAAATATGTCTTCCGTTTATTGTTTAAGTGTTAACGGGACCCTCGGGACGTAAATACCCTTCTTGTTTTTTAGAGGGTCCTTGATACTACATGATTATACTCATTTTTATATTCATTTTTTTGTATGTTTCATGTATGGTATAGCAATAAATTAAATCAAATCAACATATTATACATCAACATCAATCAAGAATGACACATTTGGTAAACCATGTGTAAACTAACTGAAGAATGGAAAATCATCACAAGCAACACAAGCTGCGCATACTCCCTACTGGGGCGTCGTCAGTGAAGGAATGGTTACAAATCCAGTGGTAATTTTTCTATTTTTCCTCACCTGCCATTGCCTTTAAGTGAAAATTGCCGCTTGTTTCTGTCTTGTTTTTTGCTGTTCCCAAGACTCCATATTAATCTTTGTGACATTTTTGCTTTCGTGAATGCCTACTTTTATTGCTCTGTGTGCCTTGTCTGCTCACTCACTCACTGTTCGACGACGGTTTCGAGACAATTCACTCAGGTACTAAAGGTACTGTACTGTATATCTTTCCAAGTGCTACAAGAGGCTTATAACACCGCCCTCTTCGTTGAATTCATCGTGCATCAACTTTTATTCAGCTTATGGAAATCTCACTATAACACACTAGTTGATACTCAAACCTATCCATCGCACCATTGCCAGTGCCACTATTCATTTAAATATTTTTTAAACAAACAATCGCCAAACTTGCAATGGTTTCTTCTTTCAGCATTTTCCACCACATAGATAAATCCACTTGGCCCGATCCTCCCTTAATTAAGATTTAAATTTTCAGATTTCTTCTTTTTTTTTTTTTGGCTTAATATTGTAATACTAAGGGGAAATTTGTAGAGGCTAAATGTGCAATTTTTTGGTGACGTCTTTGTCTGTTTCTCGTGTTATTTGTCTTCTTGTCCGTTCTCTTGCCGTCGTTTGGGCTTTGCCCCTCCCTTGCGCGTGTTATTCTTTTGAATATACTTTGCCACTTGTCAAGGGAGTATTTATATGTTTCCCTTTTTTTTTCTGAAATCACAATTTAGGCCTATACACATTTTATATTTTTATATTATATTTTTGATATAGGCCTATTTGAAATAAAAGTGATCTTGGGAAAAAAAAAAAATCCCAGAAGAATCACCGGCACACAAGAATTGCTCTAATACACTTGGATAAAACTTCTAAGCCAATAATCACATGGATAGGCCTATTGACAAACAAAACATCAAAACTATAGATTTAAATCAAATTTTATGAGGAAGTAAAGGGCATTGACAGCTGCAACTCTGACTGGTCGGTCAAATCGTTTCGAGCAGTAAATGAGAGTAAGGACGTGATTTTATAAAATAGAAGGCTTAAAACTGCATTTACATTGGATACGAACCGCGTTTTCTATGCTCTGAACGCCGGTGTCCCTATTCTAAAACTCAATTCACACCAGGAACAGTTAATTTAGCTCTTCCCCTGGTTCAGACTATCAACTGACATTTGTGTGTGTGAAGTGCCCATATAATGGGCATGATGATGTCATAATATTGCATCCTAAGGGCATATATCACATTTTAGTACATTAAAATAATATACTATGTACAGATAGAGCTTTACACACTTAAGCCCCATTTACACTAGACACGATTATGGCACGACAACGACACGATATAGATGCGTGCAGTGTTGAAAAATACAAATTCCGCGATGATTATGTCGTTGTCGTAAATGTGGCCTTAGTTGATTTTCTGATCCGTTCGGTATCCGATCCAAAATTTCGACATTATGTGTGAATGTAGACCTACTTTACTCACACTCGCATAAAGCGTATACATTTTACAGGCAAATCATAATTGTACAATGTATTGTTTACTACTAAATGTAGTTTAAAAAAAAAATTATAATAGCCTTAATAACACTTTTACAAAATTACAGACAAATGATTAAAAAACCTATATATTGTTACCTGTAGCGGCGACATCTATTTAGCCAAAGGAAGCCACAAGAAGACGTGTAACTTGACTGGTAAGAAGTCTGAGCCAAGTATCTTTCAGATGCACTTTTTATTGTTGAGCAAACGTTTTCTCTGTACAAAATAAAAACCAAATTAATCTTAAGCCCTGTTCAGACTATCAAATTTTATTTGACAAAAAAACATGTGACATGCCTAAATATGGTCATTATGACATCACATCATGACCATATATAGATACATCATGGCTATAATGGGATACTACAGTTTTTTGTCAATATAAATTTGATAGTCAAGACAGGGTGTTATGCATTCATTATAACTTTATTTTTCACTTTGTAATTAAAAAAAAATTGAAACATAAACTACATTATACTATTGGTGTTTTTTTTTTTTAAATAAGATACATGTACATTAAACATTGTTAAGTAGCAGTAAAAGCCACTATTCAGTCTATTAATGAGGGTCTATATAAAGTTAAACAATATTGTAAAACAGACAAACCCATTTCGATCCAAAGAATGGACGGGTTTCCATATGAGAAGTAAACCGAGGGATATAACAGGAACTAAAGTGTGCAGAGCCATCATCTATTCCAACACAAATCCAACAAGGCAGGCCTACAATCTGTTATGAATACATTTAAATTTATTTATTTGCAACATAGGCTTATAATACTTTCTTGGTGTCAACTACGATGACATTCAAGACTTTGCAAAGTACAACTTATAGCATAATCAACAAATCAAAATACAGATAAAATGTATTTATATTTTTATAACTATAAATTCATCTTTTTCAATGTCACATCTCTTCTTTATCCGATGATGCCCGAAACATGCTTTATCAAATAAATTTCTACTGTGGCTGATTACAGTTTACAACAGCTTTTTTTTTTTATTATATATCTATAATACTCACTTAAAATTAAAAAAAACCTACTTTATAGACGTTTGACATACATTAAATTCAT